TAGTAGACGACGACACACACACACACACACACACACACACACACACACACACACACACACACACACACACACACACACACACACACACACACACACACCATTCAAAGACTAGAAAGTCTGTGCAAAATGCAAACCTGGGATGGCTCTGTCTGCCCCCAATGGAAGTCTCATTCTGCTCAGCCAGCTGTGGTGTTTGCAAACCTTGAAGCTTTAAAGGAATTTGTACTAAATGCTAAAGAACACAGAAGAGGTTTGGAGTTTTTCCGTTGTTTGTGTTAATAGCTCAGCTCTTTCTCAGCCGTTGGAAACTCTCTAGAGCCATTAACTGCTACAATTTTCACTGCTGTATTTCTGCAGATGCAAAGTCAAATACCTTTAACTATTTTAATATAGTTCTTAGCTCTCTGGAATGACTGCTACGGCACTTTGAAGAGACATTTTCCTCAGCTAACAGACCAACAGTCAGCCATATTGAACAGAAAACAGAAATACTCCCTAGTGGTTACTTAACATGGACTCATTGCATGTCCATAGAACTTACCCTAGCTGCACAAAGTTACCCTTTAACACAGGCATTACCAAGATGCAGCTTGTAGGACTAGTGTAGCCTACAGAATTCTACACCATGATCCACTTCCATGTTAAGGAAGATAGTGTAAGTGTGGCTTGCAAAGCCTAGAGATCCCAGCATGCAATGAGTTATCTAGAACTGAGCAGTCTGGCCAAATTAATCAAAATGAAGTGCTACATGCTGGAATCTATACTCTCTGTGTGCTGTGCCTTCTTATTAAAGATGAGGACTGCTATCGTCTATTTAATTCTCTGTGGCGGCAGTGTGGTCCAGTGGCAGACTGGGCGACGTGGTTCTCTTCCCACCTCCATTCCTGACTGTGTGACCTTGGGCAAGTCAATTAACCTCTCTGTGCTTCAGTTACCCTCTCTGTCAAATGGCTGTAACAATACTATACCTCTCTTTGTAAAGTGCTTTGAGATCCCACAGGGGGAGGGATAGCTCAGTGATTTAAGCATTGGCCTGCTAAACCCAGGGTTGTGAATTCAATCCTTGAGGGGGCCATTTAGGGATCTGTGGCAAAAATCTGTCTGGGGGATTGGTCCTGCTTTGAGCAGGGGGTTGTACTAGATAACCTCCTATGGTCCTTTCCAATCCTGATATTCTATGATCTATGAATGATGAGAGTTCTGTGAGTGCTGAATTATCTAGCTTAGGTGCAGCTCTTGAGTTACCAATAAATTGCCAGGCTGCCCTTAATGGGGCAAAAAATTATGTGCCTCTACTTTAGCAAACACATGGATAATAGATGCCCTCTAGCCATTACATACCTCAATTAAGCTTTTAGTAGGCTCTAGCTGATCCCATATTTGAGTCCAGAATTTTCTAATTTTCTTCATGAGAAAGAAACACTAGTTTGTCTCCTATTTCTTCCCACTGAAGCAGGTCATAACACCCTGGGCTAATTGGCAGGAATAACGAGGCTACATAGTAAAGTGCAAAGCCAACCAGAGCAGCTAAAGTAAACTTTTGTAGCTTTTAAACCACTTTGGTTTGATTGAGTTTGCAGCAATGCAAACCAAAGCTGCCAAACTGTTACTTTCCCTAATATGTTAAAACTACAATGTTTACTTAGAGCCATATGGGGACTTTAAGGCTAGAAGGCCTAGCCAGACAGACAGGCTTGGGAGAGGAAAATAACCATGGAACTCTGTGCACGGGGAAGGAGATGTATACTACAAAGAGCTTTGAAACTTTTATTACTTTCACTGCAATACTGACCTTCAGTATGTGCAATAGTGATGGGTAAACCTCAAGGGGAGGGTCAGAGTTGGGATCTATTTCAAATAAGCACTAGAGAAACACAGTCCTGGGGAGCGGGGGGTGTTTGATACCGGAACTCGATTCTGAATTTTTTCAAACAGATTTTTTTTATAATGGGCCAGACTTATTCCCCCAGAGCAGAACATTGGGCTGTTTGAAGTCCGGATCCAGATTTTGTGGTTTAAGCTAAAAGCGTACCTAGCTAAGGTACTTAAATAGCCCTCATTACGGTCATATCTGAGCAGCTCACAATCTATAATATATTTATTCTCGTATTACCCCTCTGATGTAGGGCAGTGCTACTATTCCCATGTTACAGGTGGCAACAGAGGCCCAGAGAATATAAGTGACCTGCCCCAGGTCAACCTGGAAGTCTCTGGTGGAGTAGAGGAGTGGTTCTCAAACTGTGGGTTGGGATCCCAAAGTGGGTCACGACCCTGTTTTAATGGGGTCACCAGGGCTGCTGTTAGACTTGCTGGGGCCCAGGGCTGAAGCCAAAGCCCCACTGTCCGGGGCCGAAGCTGAAGCCCGAGGGCGGTGGGGCTCAGTTTACAGGCCCCCTGCCTGGGGCTGAAGCCCTTGGGCTTCGGCTTTGACCCCTCCTGGGGTCGTGTAGTAATTTTTGTTGTCCGAAGGGGGTTGCAGTGCAATGAAGTTTGAGAACCCCTGGAGTAGAGAATTGAACTTACCTTGCCTAAGACTGGACCATTCTCCCTCTCTGTACAAATATACATACATGCTTAGCTGAGCTCTCAATCTCTTACGTCTCCAAAACTGGAGTGGGAATTCTGTGAAAATATGCTTCCCTATGAACTGTCTGCTACTTGCAGGAGGCCTGGTTCCAGTTGAATGAGCTCACAAGGCACAAAAACAGGGGAGAAATAAAAGGAGTTCTTTTGGAACCTAAGAAAAGGTTGAGTTTAAGTTTGGGGCTCGGGAAAGGGTTTTATTTAAACCAGTTCACCATCCTTATCCCAAAAAGAAATGAAACAAGGCATTGCCAGCTACGGGAAATATAAGGGAGCAGTCATTTTAGAAAGACATCTAAAGAAGGGGTGTGTGCAATATATTCTCTCTAGATCCAGTCAAGTGGGGTTTTCTCTACCATATGCTACTCACATCAGGGACAAAGGGAGGGTCCAACATTCCTGCCTCTAATCGTTTGAAGTTCATACTCTTGAAGAATGGGTGCTTCTTCACTTCCACTGCACCTTCCCCCTGACATCCCAGCCTCTGCTTCACGTCTTTGGTTAGTAGCTGAAACAGACCAAGAAAGATCGTAAGAAAGCCTGAAAAGCAATAGCCCTACGATGACATTTTTCATATAGTTTATGCTTGAATAGGGGCATGGGAACAGGAGAATTATCATCATGAGATAACATCATGACATTATGGTAGAGCCTAGAGGCTAAACAGGTCAGGATTCCATTGTTCTAGGCATTATTCAAACATATAGACGATGATCTGCCCCAAAGAGCTTACAATCTCAATAGTGTTGTCCTCTATCCTATAGTCTCCTCCCACTTATTTTCAATGGGTAGCTGAGAGAAGAGGAGGTTTGACATATGCCCTATAGTCCCACATGTTCTCTGAACACTCGTTCTCAAGCTACTGTTGTCGGAATGATGCTCCTTTGTTACTTTGGCCTGTTTACCCCTGCCTAGTGTAATACTTTCCAGTCTAGCATGTAATACTGAACTTTTAAATCATATCTTTTGCTTTACTAAGCCTACTGGGCCCATTCCTGCTCCCGCTGAAGTCATCGGGAGTTTTGTCAACAGAGCTACATTGATTCACACCAGCTGAAGCTCCAATATGTGTCAGTATCAGCAATGTATCCAGCCTCCATCAGCCCAAGCCTAGATTTTTACAGGGCACCACAAGACACCATCTCTACACTGCTACATCGGTTCCTAGATCCTGAATTCAGGCATCTTGTGATGGGCTGAGGGAAGCTCACTTGCAGCTTTGGAGGAGATCTGGAGAAGTCTACAGAAGAATCAGTTTGACTGCAGAGATTTCCTCTCTGCTCACAGTGATCCTTAATAGGGCAATGGGGATTAACTGAACTCAGCATAATTGATAAATTAGATAAACATGCACAGGAAGATAACCACAGAGAGATGTGTGTTAGAACCAGAGTCCATTGGGAGGCCTCTATGTTTCTGATAATTGATCTGGGAGAGCCCAGTTAGTTCAATGAGTGAGATATTTTGGTGCCTAATCCTTTTAAATCAAGTACCCGTAATCAATTAGAACAAGCCAATGACTTATTACACGGTGTTTACTCAATCTAATTATTATATTTTTTAAGCACTGAAAGAAAGGCAGAGCTATGTATGTAATGACTACCTTTGCGCATCAGCCTATGCCAATTACAGATGACCTTTTTTATATGTCGCTACTGCATCACAAATTTCTGACATTCTCCTGAACCGTGAAACTGACAGTGGCCTGAAAGGTTTGTGGGGGAGGGGTTGTCTTCATTCAGTTTAAGTGGCTTTTTCATGCGTGCATGCATTTTTAGCCAAAGCAGTGAAACATGAGCCACAACTCATAAACTGACACTGCTTAGGAGACTGCAGTTGTCTAATATAGTGAAAAATACTTCCCCTTGATAAGTCAGAGGCAAATAAATATGCAATAAAAGCAACTGATTTTACAAAAAGATGAATGTTAGCTGTGTTAGCGTATCCTCTCTAGTGAATGCTGATTTCTAATGCTGAAAGACTGGGAAGAGAATGAAAAACCTGCCCTTTTAAATGAGAAGGGGGTACTGACTAGAGTCAGGGGAATACCACCATATGAGGAATATCTGACAGGAGAGTTTTAACTCTCCTGTGGCAGTCTGATTCCAAAAAGGCAGCCAAAGACATATGCTACACGGACAAGTCAGGCTAGAAAAAGCCTTAGGTTAAAAGGGACTTGATCATGCATTAGCAGCAAGACGTATAAGGGGTAGTCCCTCCTTCTCTCCAAGCACCGAGAAAAGGAAGAAAAAACGTAAGATGCGGGAGACAGGAATCCTGCTTCATTCACAATCTAGAGGGAAATCATTACACAGGAAGGTACAGCTGATAGTCCACACAGCTCAGCTGTTTTTTACTTACAACATCTCAATCCACCAGGGGGTAGCAGAGGAAAAGCTAATTGCAGCAACTACATTGCAAACATCTAGTATTTGAGCAGCATTACACTTTCAAAAGCATCAGAAAAACATGGTTGAGTAAGTAGACAATCCCCCAGCCAAACAGACTCACTAGCACCCTGCGATTTATTTGCCTCTTCTGAGTATTCAAGCTGACCATTCCTAGTGGGTTCTGCCCCCTGCGGAAGCAGATAATCAGCAGGGACATGGCCCCTTGTTTGAGAACCTCTCTGGGGAGACTGCTTCCAAAGATGAAACAAGGAGTAGTAGTTCCCTTCCTGTATTTCACCTCTCTATGCAGCACAACAATCACATCTTCCTCTGAACTGAAGGGCTGTTGGAGCTCCAACCCTAAGATGGGCTGGAATGGCAAGAGAAGAAAAATCACCAGACCTTTCTTTATCATCTCCAACTATGCCATTCCTACAGAGGGAGTCCTACTGCAGTGAAACCCCAAGGGCTGGACATGTTGATAAGCCTTGCTGAGGCTAACAAATCACCCTGAGAAATGGCTGCCATGGTGGATTTGGACTTCCAGGTCTCCATTTTGAACTGTGATGTTCAGGATCTTTGAACCCTGATGCCCAGGGGGAAATGTGAACAAATCACTAGGCATCTCTCCAGCCTTAGTTCTGATCCAAGAGCCTCAATTATTAGCAAATGGGAATGTAGCCTCCATCATCAGCCTGGGCTTTACCATGTTCCAGGAGCTAGGAAGGGGACAAATCACTTTGTGAGGGAAAGGGAAGATCTGCTGAATTTTACCATACAGCCCATTGGACGGAGGATGCCTGCAGGGATCACAGCACCTCAGGCCTGGGGAAGGAAGATGCGGAATCAGGAATCCTTGCTGCAGTGGGAGGGTTGTCTGGAGATGTCACGCCTAGCCGTGATGTGTTCCAGTGCCCTCTGGCTGAGTGATGGTCTCAGCTGCAGAAGCTGAAAGGACTGTTTGCTCCTGATGGAAGGTCTGTAATCTCTCCTCGGGTGCCTGGCTAATGGCAGGGGTTTCTCGCTCTCATCCTTGGCTTATAGGATAACATTTCCTAAGGCTTCTCCAGTTTGCTCCCTGCACTGCACCAACAATTTGGTGGTTTGCCTTCCACTGCCTGATCCATAAATGACCTGTCACAAACCTAGTCACAGAGTATCCAGGGAGAAGTCCGATATCAAAGCCACTGACTACTGGTCCTTAGCCTCTGAGAGGGAGCTGATACACACCTGAATAGCTTGAGCAAGAGATGACGAATCAGCAGAATTTTAGTGTGGCAGAGGTGTAATTGCCATGCCAGGAAGACTGAATCTGGCAATCACTGGGCAAAATGTCACTCCCCAAAATGATGACCAATTAATTCACAAGGTTATCAATGACAGTGTTAACCTTTGGGAGGGTGACAGTCTGATTTTGGCACTGGGACTGCATGGAACCTTTGAGACAGCTTAATGAGCCTCAGACTTATTTATTAGCTCAACTCGATCTAATCCCCTTCACAGCTCTTTCGGGGTGGCGCAGGGGGTTTGAAGGACAGCATCTAGTTGTTGTCTCACAATAGGTTCAAGTGGTCAAGGTTCAATAGTTACCTGGTGCAACGTCATGTTGAAACAGTACAGGGGGAAGAATCTTTCCTGGCACTCTTCTGCTGGATCCAAATCAGACAATTTGCCTTGCTCAGATGAGGGGGAGGAAGAAAGTTTTGCTTTTGATGGCTTGGACGAGACTGTGAACTGGGATGCCTTGAGGCATGTTTCTCTGCATTTGTGTTTTTTTAACCACAGCAGGGTTCTAAATTTCGCCCTTTACAGGGAAAGCTCACTGAGGTCTGACGGCCTAAAGAGTTTCCCCATCTGAGTCCGACTTTTCTCCAGCCAATTTCTGTAGCTCCTGGTCAGAGAGGACAAAGACCACATCTGCTTCCTGCCTTTATGCTGAAGGGATCCTCTCCTCATATGAGAGGAGAAATCCTAACGCAGAAGGCTCTCTTTTACTCTTAAGTTCCCACTGGTTCTTGGACTTTACTTCTGCTGGCTTTTTCCTGGAAAATGTTTTACTGATGTCCAGAAGCTTTCAGAGCCAGCGCTGCTGACCATTGAGATGCAGTGGGCAGGGGTGGACTTGGAACAGCCTGTGTTAGATAGAAGACGCCTGCAACTCTTGCTCAGGATGGAGGGAAGACAAACAGGCCCCATTGCCTTGTTATAGTTTCCAACAGTCCTTGCAGGGCTTCCACCTCTGGGCCGGCTGGGGATATTAACTCAATCTGGGAATTGATCCTCGTCTGGCTGAAAATGTTGGCTCCTGTTTGGTACATACGGTCACAGGGTGTGGTGGCTGAGGCTGGGTGGGGAGACCTGAGTCCCTCAGTGGTGTCCAGGAGCCAATTTGCAACAACCTTTGATGCAGAAACCGGTCTTTGGAGCATGAATGGAGTTGGCCGCTGGTGTATTGCTGCTTCTGGCTGCGGAGACATAGGTGGAGCAGGCAGCTGGGAGTTGGCTGAAACCGCTGGTCACTGCACAACTGTCTGGCCACTGCTGAGACGATGCCTCACAAGACCCACTGAGCCTGGATCCGAAGGGCCAATAACTGTTCCTCCAGCTGGGGCCACTGCCTGGAAGCTGCTCCTGCTGGTGCAGTGGGGTCTGTTTAGGAGGAGAGTGCACTTGCTGGGGGAACTCCACCTGGACACAGAAAGGGCAAGATTCTCCTGCCTGGCACAGCTACAGGGAACCAGCACTCAGCTCTCTGCCTTTCCTGAGGCAGTAAAGAGAAGCTGCTGTACGCTGCTGAGCAAGCTCCTTAAAGAGGCCGCGAGTCCCAGCGGGGACAAACCTGGAGCCATATGGAAATTCTATAAGGACTTCCCAATGCCCTGTAGCTCAGGTGAAGTAGGAGACTGCTTCTCTGCTGCTGCTGGCAGGAAGCAGAGAGGACTGGGGAGTTTTGTAGAAGGAGGTGGCCCCCACCACTCCACAGGCATTGACAGGTCCTCCTGCTTGCTGAAGCTCCAGTGGGCTTTAGCAATAGTCATGGGTACGAGACCGAAATGTCCATCCCATGTAGACATGACCAGGAACGGAGATGACGATTGTGTATTTTGAGCCGTTTGCAGAGGGTTTTCTTTTTAAATGTTAAATTTGCAAAAGATGCATTTAATATGAATAAGGCACAACAAAAGCAAATGCATCACTGCTGATGGCAAGGCCTCTTGGGGCATTAGCCAAATGACCGGAGCAATCGTACTTTAATCTAGTTCAGAGTCTGTAGTCTATGAACAGAGCTACAAATCAGAAGATCTCCTAACGCCAACCAGTGAAGTTGATCCTAAGCAGCAATACTTTCCATCAGGATGACACAGGCACAAAGTGGGATGAAAAGGGTATAAGTGAGGGCAGAATTTAATCCACAGTGATTTACATTCACCAGCATAGGGCTATCACAAAATGGTCTGAAATGTCAATGTCCCACTAATGCTAATGCTCTATACTTTGGTACAAAGGATTCTCTGATCCTTTGATGTCACAAATTCAGATCTCAGGTGGGGATTCCAACTCTGTAATGTCAGAGACATTTTCTGTGTAGTTTTCCCCTGCTACAAGAAAAGAAACAACTGGAGCAGCGATTGTTAAATAAATCAATCCACAGCCCTCTTATACATTTATGGATTAAATATGTGTTAGGAGATTCAGTCTGTCAGATTCATATCATATGATATGACAAAAAAAGCCTTTCAATCCTAAAATGACAGGAATAAAGGAAGCAATTTATGGGGTAATATGGAAAATGCTGAGCGGGTGGGAAAAAACAGCATAAGGAGAGTCACAACACCCGTTAAGTCAATTAATATAAGGGGGCCCATTAGATTAATTTTGGTCTCAAGACAGAAACAAGCACCCAAAGGAGAGACTTTGTTTTAACTAACTTTTTTAAGGTTAGAAAAATACGACACCATGCGCGTGGTCAACACCCAGTGAATGAACCATACTGATACTGAATGGGTTAGGTAACAAAGAGGCAGGGATAAAATAAAACATTGTATATTACACTAACCAATCAACCTGGGGGAGAGTCAAAAGTCTCTCTGACAGAGTTAAAGGGGAGGTTTTGTGATATCTGAGAGTTCAAGATCTCATTGTTAGGTATTATTATTATGTATTATTATTAATTTTGAAGAGTGCCCTAACGTGTGTGAGTTGCTTCCCCTGATGGATAAAAGAGATTATCACTAACACCTGCTACGTCCAACTTTGACCTAATCTAGATTTATTGGATGATTTCTGGTAGGCATGACATCAGGGATGGGACAATTCCACCACCATTCCACTAACCCTCACCTAGCTCTCCTCAGCTTTAACTTTTCATGGACAGTGGCTATATTATTTTACTCTGAATGACACTTTTTCCCCACCATGCTTCCAGCCCTATAACTAGGTGCAGAAACAGAAGTAAAAGTCATTTTTGTCTCCTATCCATTTCTTTATAACAGGCTGGAGGTTTCTGTTTGGTGTGTAATGCAAACTTAATGCTGGCAGGGCTCATGAACACCAAGTTGCCACCAGAAGGCTTTCCCCCTGGCCTGTCATTAGTTGAAATGGGGCTTGTCAGGAGAAGGCAGGCTGTTTGAGTGCATGAAACCATCATTAAGGAACCGCATACTGTCCTTTATCCTTGCACTCAACTCCCACTGACATCAGTGGGGAGTTCTACACACAGATCAAGAACAGCATATGGCCTCAGGAATCTATCAGGAATGATGCCAGTTAATTACCACTCCATGAGATGTGGCATTGGGTTAGTGCACTGTGAGTTAATGACTTGCACTCATGATTCTTGGCGGTGATGCTGTTCTTAGTTTGCTCAGTAGCTGCTATCCAGTCCACCAACCAGAATGATATTAATATGCCACTTGCCTGTGTGTTGCGTGAGGTATTGGTGAAGCTCGCACTATTTATTCACTAACCTTTCCTTTTCCTTCTGTTTCTCTGCTAGTTTGCAGTACCCTGCAGGACACCACACTAGAAAATCAAGGCTAAGGCAACACCCCTTTCCAAATTAAAATTTGGCCTTTCGAAGACATATGCTGGAATGTCATTGATTAACTCTTACATGGTTTGGGGATTTCCCTTCCCAGCAATGGCCATGGTTTTGGAAAAGAGCACTCCCAGCTGAAAGGGTAACAGAAGACATTTTAAAGGACAGCCCAACAGTGATTTAACAAGGCGGTCAGCATAGCAGAGCTGGGGAAAGTGATAGTAAAGGTAGCGGGTTGGGGGGCGGGGAGAAGGGGTTTACAATTTCATAATGTAATCTAGGTCCTCAGTACTCTCAACTCCCATGGAAGACAATGGCAGTGAAGAGTGCTCAGGTCTTACATTAGACACTCAAGAGTCCTGCAGCATCAGGCCTTTCTTCCCACAAAGTTAATAAAAGCCACAAGGTGCGTTCTTGGCTAAAATCTGGTATTCAAAGTCTCCTGAATCCAGGAAAATATAGATACTGCTCCCCCATCCAAAAAAGGTTAGATAAAATCAAGCTGATCATCAAGAAACTCAAACCAGCCCAAATAAACCCACTCAACACAATCTGGACGAACAGTGGGTGCAAATCTCCTGGTAATGGACCAGTGAGGTTAACTCTGGGTTCTGCAGCCCTCTGAATTGTAGTTTGTGGACTACAGCCTGATAACGAATCTACTACAGTAAGTTGTCAAATCCCCTTACCATTTTACAGACAGACTTGGCCTCCTCAGAAAATTTATGGGAGTACACCTCTTCAGTCTCCAGGACTCTCCTGTCCACCTCTTCTCTCTTTACCTTCTCTTTCCTTCCACGAAATGGTGATTGTCCAGCAATCATTTCATAAATGAGGCAACCTAGCCCCCAGTAGTCAGGGCTGAGGGTGTATCTCTGATTGTTCAAGACTTCTGGAGCTGTGAGGGACAAAGACACATCTTGTGAAAACACTTAATATTTCTACAGAAAAATAACTAAAACCCCTAACCCTCTTATTTCAATGACTGAATACACAGCTGCAGAGAACGGTGGGAAAAATATAAGAGTCTCTCCTGGCTTCTACTAGCTGAGTTACAGAAAATACAGAATGCAGCTATTCATGCAGAAGCATATATAAAAACACAGCTGGGATTAAAAAACAACAACAACAAAAATCAGTGGAAGCCAAATATTTTTGACTGGCCCAATCTTGAAAGTTCATCAAGACTTTAAATTTAAAAAAGAAATGGCAAACAAACATTATTTAAACAAAAATGAAATTTCCTAAAAAGCAAATTCTGTCCTTTGGATCAGTTTGTGTATATATTTTTATTTAAAAAACAAACATCTACTGTGTGCTGTATATATACTCACTCTGCATACAGTCACTTTCCAACATGCATGTTTACTCTCTGAACACAAACACATGGTCCTGATCTACACACAAATTTGCACCAGGATAGCTAAAGATATGCTTTATAACTTATTTAGTTACTTAGATGCAAGTCTACATATGGAATAAAAGTGGCTAAAGTCAGTTTGTTATCAACTTTAGCCCAAACATTTTAACCACTTTTATTCCAAAATGAGTGTCCGCCTACAGGTTTACATTGAAATAACTCAGTTGGTTTTAGGAAATTGGGTTAGTTATATCAGTGCATGTTGGTGTGTAGACTAGCACACCGACTCTCTCCTTTTCACACAAACTCTCTCTCTGTCTGAAACACACAAAGATACACAAAGACTTGCTCACTCTATCATAAACACACAGAGAAAATCTCTCTCTCACACACACTCGCGCACACACACACACACACTTTTTCTAACAGATACACACAGAGTCTCACAGTGTATGTCTGTACTCAAGTGGATGTGTGATTGTAGCAAGGGCAGGCATACGCATGCTAATTTTAATCCAGCTCGCACAGGTAACAATAGTAGCGAGTGGTGATGGCATAGGCTTCAGCACAAGCTAGCAAGCCACGTACAAGCCCGCTAGGGATCCTGGGTATGTACTCTGGTTGCTAGCCCACACTGACATGTCTTCATGACAATGGATATGCCTACTCATGCTACAATTACACCTTCACTTGCAGGGTAGATGTCCCTTAACACTCTAATACACACACATACAGTTCTCCCCCTTCTAGTACACATTAGCGCGCACACACACACACACACACACACTGTAGTTAACACTAGCATAACGCCACTGACTGCAAGGTTCAATTTAGCTCACTCACACTTTTGAAGAGTTCTGTGCTAACTGAATTCTGACTTGTTTTGTATTCTAAAGTAGGAGAGAATTAATACCACACTCATTTGAAGAACATTGCTAAACTTGAAACCCCTCTGGCAAACACCAGGAATTGGACTCAAGCTAGAAGACGAAACAGCCATCCCTTAATATAGCCCCTTAAAAATACTGGAAAGCTCACAGACATCTCTTCTGGTCTTGTAGAACAGTTTCCTATAGATTTAGTTAATCTGCACTCCAGACAGAACTCCAAAGTCACAACAATAGAGTAAACTATCAATAAAATGAGCTATTGAGGTACTTACCCATATACCCTACTGTTCCTACCCTTCCACGGATTGAGTCACCCTCCGGGATTTTAACAGCTAGACCCAGATCAGATATTCTAATATGGCCTAAGGGGGGGAAAGCAAATATTAAAGTGCAGTCCTCAAATGGCTAAAAACATAAAGGTTATACTCAATGGACCACTTTTGAAATTCATCTAAATACTGTGAGAAGAAAAATGCCACTAGCACTGAATTTGAAAAAATATAATCATTCAGGAAGGGAGAAATGATTTTGGGTGATACTAGGGGTTTTACTTAAGAGTAATGCAATGAAATTTAAAAAAGGAAGGTTTAGGCTGAATGGCAGTGAAAAATCCAAACAGTGAGGTCTATTACACTGTGGACTAGTCTTCATTGCTTGACATATTTAAAACTGGACTGGAAAAAAGCAAGATATTGTCAGGACATATCTTGCATTGACCTAAGTGGATGGACAGGTTGACCTAATTGGTCTTTTCTATCACTAACTTGTATCACTTTGTGATAGTTTACCTTGTAAAAATAACTAAATTTGGTCCTGAATCTATAACTAAAGCTCAACTTTCAGGTCTTGTTTGCAACATAAGGGTCTGTTCCTTGAGAAATACTATTTAAGAGCCCTAAAAACCTGGAGGTTATTACTACTTATATCCAGATTTTGGAAAGTCGAAGATTGGGGAGCATGTGAGTAAAGGAACAGATTTTGAAATTATATGTGTCCGCCTCCCCCACCCCCGACCATATTTTTAACTTAAATCAAATTATCTCAGAAAGGAAACCACTCAACAACTATGGAGAGTATTTAACATAGAAATCAGCTCAAGTACACTGCATTCCACAGCAGTGTTTTCATTAAAATGTCCAATAACTTTACAGATCCCGAGTCTATTGTGTATCGTTTCTTTAGAAAGGTGGGAGAGTCAAGACTGAGATAACTTGGGTAACTTAATCTATTCTGTCCATTTAGGTCCCAACTGCAGTCCCATCTCTGTGGTACCAGAAGACCCATGTAGGTAGCAATTTGATAGTTCACTAAATTATAAATGGCCTAATGATTTAGTAATGGTCTGAAGGCTGCACAGGCTTGAAAGCCCCAGTTCAAATGGAAGCACATCATATATGTGATAATAGTCACTCGTGTCCTACACTAGGATACCTGGCGCTGGCATGGTCAGTGCTGAGCCAGAGTCATTGGAACACAGGATTTGCCATAGACTTGCTGCCTCAAAGAAAGATATACCTGCCCTTTGACCAATTCTGCACTGCTGTAAATGGGGGGGAATTTCCTTCCTGACCATAGCAGTGATTAGTTTATGCACTGAAGCATGAGATTTGATCATGGCAGGTTGTAGCTAGCAATGGGCTCACTGGTTTGAATAAAATGACAGCTGACAAACAGAGGGTAAAGTACCTCTGAAAAGGGAGTTGGGGGCATAGATTTCACAACTTCCTTCCTATTGTGGAAGTAATGTAGGGAAGACAGTGGAAAAGGCAGACCTATTGCTAGATAAGCCACTGTCCAAAGGAACATACTCAGCTATGCAGCCTAGTTTGCTCAGCTGTGTAGCAGTCCTTGTGTAAAGTTCTATCACTTTATGCATCCCAAGACACAAGCACTAGTATATGATGAGCCTCTTATTCACTTCAGAGCATTATTTGCTTTATTACAATGTGTCCTAAAACTAACTTAAGCTACTTTACTGTGAAAAAAATATCTCTAAACCTCTGAGACTTACCATAATCATCTAACAGGATATTTTCTGGCTTCAAATCTCTGAAAATGAAAGATTGCAGTTATTTGTGTGAAAGCGGTTCACAAGCCCAGTGCAGGGTATGAATATATATCCTACTGGCGATAAACCAGTTGGGAGTCAACTGAAACAGTAAAGAACTTGTAAAACCAATATAAAACTCTACTACTTATTGCACAGCAAGACTGACTCCAGATAGGTCTTTTTCTTAACTGCAGTTAAATTGTTTCCCCAAGCAAAGACTTCACTTCATAATTTGCTTTCTAATGGATTCACCCTGCCTTCTGATAGTTGGCCTGGCACACGTTATAGGCGGAGCTGGTAGCTACCCCGCCTGTAGTTAAGGTTGCCTGACAATTCCCATTATAAAATCCCATTTTCAGTTGCTTATAAATTCGGCCAATTATAACCATTCAGGCTGAAACTTTCTGGGGTCTGCCTCAGTCTTAAGTTTTTTTTTTTTTAAGTAAAGTTTCAGCAAAAATGGTTCAGAACAAAGTTAGGGGAAAATATGTTGTTTTGCCCATGGTAAAATTTTTCTTACAACCATGTCATTGAGAAGCTCTAGTACCTCCATGGTTGGGAGCAAGGGCTTGAAAGTTGACAAAGAGGCTGCCCTGATGTCAGGGACGTGTCTTTTGGTTTTCCTGTTATAAAATGCCCAAAGATATAAGCCTTTGAAAAATCTTGGTTCACACAAACGCAGTAGAGACTTGTTAGAATTTGTCATCTTAATTCTCAGAGCAGTGGTTCTCAATCAGGAGTCCGGGGCCTCCTGGGGGGCCGCAAGCAGGTTTCAGGGAGTCCGCCAAGCATGGCTGGCACTAGACTCGCTAGGGCCCAGGGCAGAAAGCCCAAGTTCCACCGTGTGGGACTGCAGCCCCAAGCCTCACCACCCAGGACTGAAGCCGAAGCCAGAGCAAAACCCTCTGTGGTGTGGGATCCCAGGCAATTGCTACCCCCTAATGACAGCCCTGGCTTTTATATGCAGAAAAACCAGTTGTTGTGGCACAGCTGGAGTTTTTATAGCATGTTGAGGGGTCTCAGAAAGAAAAAGTTTGAGAACCCCTCTCTTAGAGGATTCCATCTGCACTGAGTATGCTCCATCCCTCACAGCTGCTGTATGCTGACCAGACTCATTCCAGGGCTTCAGGGGCTGAGCGGAATTTTTCCAGTTGTGGGCGGCTGCTGTCATGCCAGGTGCTAGAAATGAGAGTAGGGAGACTGTCTCCTGTGTTTCCAATGCTCTCCCTGCTGACGCCCAGGCATAAAGAAGAAGGAAAGGCCTGAGTCAAATGCAGAGGGCACATAGGATGGACTTGAATGGAGAGGAAGGAAGTAAATTGGGACAAAGAGTCTGGGCGTATGTGCAGAGGCTGGGTTTGGGAGCAATGGGGATGTGACTGGGACTGGTTGGACAAGAAGCCTGGGATGGGGAGCAGTGGAGAGCAGGATGACTGAGATTGAATGAGGATCCTAAAGGTGAGGGAGACTGGGACTATCTAGGGAATATAGGTTTGGGAAGAGGCACCATATTGCTCGCAACAGACCAAGTTCTTCCCCTTGTAACTCTGCTAAAGTAATGGGGTTGAACAGGGTGTAAATTCACGTAGAATTTGGATTACCGTTTTTTAAAGGCCACCTGGATTTATGAATGTATTAGATTCCCTAGTAAGAAAGATTTCATTTCGAAGTGTGTGTGTGCACGCACATTGTGTGTGTGGGCAGTGGGTGTTAGAAGGAGAGAAATCTGCATTGCAGGAGGCCCACCCACCATACAGAGTACATGCAGGTACTATTTCAAACTGTGCTATTGGAATAGTTGGAGTTTTGCTATCATTGGATAGGGGTATTTTATAATCTGACAGTGCCAAGGGCACATTTTCAAAACCTATCTTGCTCTCATTTATTATTTTAAGCAGAAACACACAGTGCCACAAACATTCTTCTCCTCCTTTTGCTAGTTTAAAACCCTCTTGACCTCACAAGATAAACTTCGCTGAGTGCCCAGTGGTACCAAGCCTACTTTTCAAACAAACAGTACTCAAATATGTGAAGGGGAGAAGAATGCTGTGGAGAATGTATGACTTTATTTTACACACTACTGTGTGCTTCTCTCTAAATGTTAACCAAAGGGTCTCGGTGTTGGAGCCATGTAATAAAGGTCATTCCCCACGTACTTTTTTCAATCTAATTTTAAGCTCTTAGGAGCCATTTCCTTGAGGAGCCTAGATTCCATCCTTTACTTTCATTTTCAATGCTGTCAGCAATCAGTCACATTTCAGGCTGCAGCAACAGCCAAGTGAAGTAAGAAAAAATAATTCCTGCATGTTCAAATCAAAATTAATTTCTGAATTCGCTTGAATAGGAGCGAAGATGCTCTTGTGATTTCCAGTCTGGGCTGGGACTCAGGAGACAGTGATTCAAGTCCCAGCTCTGTCACTAGCTCCATGTATGACAAGGCATGTCATCTTTCGGTGCCCCGGTGCCCTATATGTAAAATAGAGGTAAAAATACTTCGGTTCTCCCGGCCTTTATTTGTCTTTTAGATTGTAAGCACCTCCAGGGCAGAGACCGTCTCTTATGCATGGTCTACACATGAATATTTTAATGGTATAACTATGAATTTTTAGAGTGGTGTCATTTTTTTACTGAAATAGTAATACTAATAAAAGCCCTACTGTGAATGCAGTTATAGAATCATAGAAATGCAGAACTGGAAGGGACCTCGATAGGTCATCTAGTCCAGTCCCCTGCATTCATGGCAGGACTATGTATTATCTAGACCAGGGGTGGGCAAACTTTTTGGCCTGAGGGCCACATGGGGGCTCCAAAACTGTATGGAGGACTGGGTAGGGAAGGCTGTGCCCCCCCAACCATCCAACCCCCCTGCTACTTGTCCCCTGACTGCCCCCTACCGGGAACCCCCACCCCTGACTGCCCCCTCCCGGGACCCCACCCCCATCCAACCCCCCCTGCTCCCTGTCCCCTGACTGTCCCGA